ATTGATTCAAAATATATTTATCAAATAGAAGCTTACGTGTTCTTATGAATCGTCAAATCAAAAATTATATATATAGGTTCGTAAGGTACCACCGGTTCGGAAAGCTGTTTCTGTTGAGAAGAGACCGGCAAGAAACTCAACAGTTGCACCGTTTCAAAAATAACAGTTTACAATATAACATACCGGTATAATAGTCTTATTCTAGCCTACGTGAGTGTATCAACAGTATTAACTCCACACATTGGCGTCGTCGAGATATTTCGAAATGGTATAATATGCTGTAACCATAAGTTGACTTTTGAGTTTACGTTTAAATTGATTAAGCGGCTGACTTAATAACGACTGTGGGATTTTATTATACATGAGCACACTTTGCCCCATGAACGACCTTTTTTCTTTTTATTGGCGTAGGAAGTTTGTCCTTATTTCTAGTGTTTATTCTATCTTTAGGTAAAAATTAAGGTTATGACGTATGTACAAAATATTTCAATAAATGTATTGAGATGCAACAGTGAGTATATTAACCTCTTTAAAGAGATCTATGAATGAATTCCGGGCTCTTTTTTGAAGAATAAATGCCACTTTCTCACGTAAAAAAAATGTATTCTATTCTATTTTTTTTTCTTTTATAACTGTGTTTGTGCACCTACCTCAACTTCTCAGTACCACTCTTTTTTTTGTTGACGTGGGGGAAATGCCTACGCATACCCGCCCTCGTGTGGGCAAGAGCGGATTATGTCAGACTTACACCGACTAATACCCCCACGATGTTACATCTAGGCGCATATCGGCAGGGTCACGGGAACGCTTTCGCACACTTCCGCAACCCTGCCAGCGCTGGCCGCCTTAGCAGCCCCCTCACGGGGAGCAACTCCCCTCTTCTCCAGGTAAGGCGCGCTGGAACATTCAGCGCGCCTTCCTACTCGGCCCCATTTTCACGGCCAACGAACTCCCCCGAGTTCGCTGACTGGGGCCATGGGAGCCAGGAGAGCCAGTGCTAATAAGCAGCAAGCCTCCCAGCCCCCAGCGGCGGACCTGGTCTGTGGCTCCGCCGCTCACCACGTTTCGGCCGCGGAGGATAGGGAGCACGGCCAGCGCAATACCGACACTCCACAGGCCTTGCACCACAGGCCGGCTCAGTGTGGGTTCCTCTTAGCTTCGCCGTGGGGGACCAAGCCACGGCTACTAAGCCCCTCCGCCATGTCAAGGCGGGAACCCGGTCGGAGGGGTTCTCAGTACCACCCTAAGGTGGACTGGTAGAAAATGCTGTCAGCATTAAGTCCGCCTATGTACTGTTTTATGCATGAAGTTTAAAAATAAATAAAATAAATATTCTTTTCAATAAATTTATGAAGGTTAATAAGATGCGCGTATGTTTCTTTAATCAGCATGTCGTCTTTTATTAGCACATCCCTTGATAATTTATGTCTTACCTCACTAACGAGAGCTGAGTGAAGTGAGTGGGAGGGGCGGGATAGGGGTGTCAAACATAAATAGAAACACGCATCAATCACATTAGTTGGCGGTACGCTTCACGGCCTATTGCTTACTGCAGCCTTCGATTTGTTCCCCCTACTATATGTGTGATCTTACATCGAACAAGTAATTTTATTTTATTGACTAGCTGGAATTTAAAATAAATAAAATAAGTAAAATTAAAGAAGCCTAATTTACTCTTTTACTAGCCGGAAAAAAACACACAGATAGATAGGTATATGAACCGTGCATACATCCATATGCATTAAATAAAAAGCGGGGACAATTCTATTTGAATCCAGGTTTATGCAAATTGTTGATTCATAACTGTTTTTGTATAAATTTAAAAGCTAGGCTCTTGTCGGTGCAGCATCCCAGTATTTCAGCTGTGTAACACCCTCCATCTTTCCCTGTTCATAGCCATTTTCTTTAACTCTCTATAGAAAATATCAAAACTGCTCAATGGTTGACCTTTGCTCCTGGACTGCTACGACATGCCGTCCAGCGTCAATTATATCTGTGTTTTATCGAAATTTTGAGGGTCTGGTCTACACGTGCGAGGTCCACCTTTAATATGAAAAATAGCTGAACGGAATTGACATTCATTGTTAAACCTTAAGCATTCTCTACCAGTCAACCCTTGTCATGGTGAAAAGTAGATGGTAGGTGCTAAATGAAACTATAAAAATTTAAGTTAATTAATGTGCCATAAAACATTACATTTATTTTTCCCATTAAATTACATTTTCGCCTTTATCAAAAAAAAAAGAACTGTAAAATGTGATAAATGTTCTTGTTATTACATTTTTTGACACTATAACTCACAACCTACTACTTACTATTTGTTGAATATGCTTTACGGTGGTAGGGCCACGCAGCAGCCTCGGCTGTTGCACGAATGGGCAGGCCCGTCCGCGTACCGAGTACCACTACCTCACAGAAGACCGGCGTAAAGTGGAAGTATGACAAATACTTTCGCCTTTCGTCTGGTGAGTGAGGTAGCCGGTGCCCAATTATCAACATTGTCAACGCATCTGTAACCCTCGGGTGAAGCAGATGTCCATGGGCGGCGGTATTCACTTACCATCAGGTGAACCGTCTGCTCGTTTGGCAGCTTTTCACATAAAAAAATGCTTTTTGTTGGTACACAACTTTGTCCAAAAATATTATTTATATATTTATCTTAGATTTAATAGAATAGAAAAGGAGATTATCTTCCCCATTATTGATGAATTAACTATCTTAACTATGTCACGAACGGGCAAAAATAAAGACGGCAAATGTTGTATGAGAACATATCTAGCTTAGACTAGACCACTTGGTACTTGTAACAGTTTTGAAGATTTCAAACGTGCGGCGTTCATCGAATTATTCCTCAATAAATATAACCAACACGACCGAAACCAACCACCCAGGTTACATGTATTTATTCTGTATGTAGTAATTTATGTGTCGATTTTGTTTTGTTTTAGTGCAGTGTGTATTACGAAAATTTTTATTTCTTTCATATATTTTTTTATTTAGTTTTTTGTGGGTTGCGTCCTTTTTGTGGTAAACAAATGTATTATCTTTCTTTCAAATTACATTTGAAGCATGTGCAACGGAACAAACAAGTCCGTTTATTCAAGGGTGGAATTCATTTCTATTACATCTCAAAGAGGATCAATGCAAAAACAAAAGCCTTCACTGTTATTGTAATGCGTTTCCGTAATGGAAGCATTCATTTCATTTGGTGAATATGATTAGGTTCTAGCAGACTCAGACATATTCTTTATAATATTAATAGTTTCCAGATACTCCTTGTATAATTAGGCTACAATATTATCACGTTTGGAACTTGACAAATTCGATGAATGAAAGAATAAAAGAATATAATTTTTTATTTCTTTTAAACTCCTTATGAAAAAGATCGAATTCGTTCATACATAAATTTATTTTCCTTTCTGGTATTTTCCCGAACAGCGTAATCACCTGGTAAATTTATGGGAATTTTGGGCACTCCGGTAACAAAGGTAAATCACTCAACCATCCAAGGGAAAGTGGCGCGTGGTTCGCTAGTCTGATTAAAAATTCAATCCTGTAAATTAAAATAAGGATTTTGCATTTTATTACACTGACGTATACTATATTTTATCGGCCTTTAAATATATAAACATTTATTTTCATTAAATTAAACTTTTCATTATCATTTTAATATTTGCAACATATCCAGTAGTCTTATTAAGTTCAAATCATGTTTCACAACTGGCATCGATCACAAGTTTTGAATTTCCTATTTTTCTATTAGCACGTAGGGCATTTAAACACGGTTTCAGTATCTCCCTCTATACGAATGAGTCTTCTTTATGAATTTTCTCGCCGGGGCGATTTCCGTAAATAGAACCGATGGTAGGGGCGGAGAGTGTAATCGAAGGTGGCCGCTGAGGCAGGCTCAACTGACACCCGATCGCCCAGATGATGGATGCTTTCCCACCGGCTGCGTCTTAGCAGCCCTTCGACGCCACATGCTTCGGGCTCTTCACATACGACCCATATACAGAATTTCATGCAATGACTATATTTGACTATGTGTTACTTGGTTTGGACTTATTGTTGTTATCGTAACCGTATCGTAAAATCTGAGTTCGAACGTCCGTAAAATACATCGTACTAGAGTTACCTGATTTCTAATAACGATGTGCGGACTCGACACGGACTTTCATCACTACATAGTATAAAACAAAGTCGTCCTGCTGTCTGTCTGTCCCTATGTATGCATAGATCTTTAAAACTACGCAACGGATTTTGATGCGGTTTTTTTTAACTAGATAGAATGATTCAAGAGGAAGGTTTATTGCATTGCATGCGCGAGAAGCCGGGGCGGGTCGCTAGTAAATTATTATTTTGATATTTAGCGTTAACGAAGTATCGGGGGGTAATAAAACCAAATCTTTGAAATGCCATGCTATTATCCCCTATGGTAGGTCTTTGTTCGTTATCTATTGATACAAAGACATAGATTTTAAACAATGGAGCACCGCAAGACTTCACTAGCAAATAGCCGGCTTCCTGCGCCTATCTCCGGTACCACCTCCCGTCGACTCAACACCACCCTTCCTCCAGGCGTCATTTCCTTTAGTGCGCCGTCGGACCACTGGCTTCATCAGAACCGATTCTGATCGCGGTTGATCACGAGGTAGATCTGCGGTTTTTAATATGGAACTAGCTAATGCTAGATTGCTATCCAAACTGCTGACAAGCGTGGCAGTTGATACGAGACACCAGAAATCGAGTTGCATGCAATACGGTGGACTGTGTGTGATCAGAATAAAACATTAATGTGTTGTGAACAACCAGAGACAGAAACCAAGACGTCATCTATCCGGCAACTTGTGAATTATTCAATCGTTTTAATTGTATAACACCTGATTTCTACTTGAAACTCACTGAAGACGGTCTTCGGAAATAATAGCGCTAGGTAATGTAGTGTTTGCTAAGATTAGCTTGGCCTTCCAATGATTTTGACAAAGTAGTGTGTCGACGCCATGTCGACGATACCAAAATTGTTCAATTACGTCGACGACGCCGCTTTGGAGTGTACAGGCGCGATGAAATTCTCTGCTCAAGCGCAGAGATTTCGGGAGAGGAGGTACATCACTACCGGCGGCCAGTATCTGGTCAGCAAACATTTAACCATCGTCGATATCAACATTGAGGACATCATTAACCAACCGAAGGCAAGTGAGTGCGAAATATCGAATTGCATTATAGAAAGAGTTATTGATGATGTTATTTATTAAATCCCTCACATGTGACATTAAAATAACTAAGACTTATTGATCAAATCTCACAGTGTCTGAGTTCTCTCACGCACAATTTCGTACTTAAAACTGAGTGATAATTTTACTGACTGATATATTTTAATCTTAAAACGTCTCTAATGTAAAATGTGAATTTTTGTAGATAAACAAAAAAATTCCGCGCTGCGGGATCCAAATCTCTGGGTACAGGTTACGGTGGTGGGGCCACGCAACAGTGTTCGCTGTCGCACGAATGGGCAGGTCCGTCCGGGTAAGTACCACGACCTCACAGAAGGCGTAAAGTAGAAGTGTTGCACTTCTGCGTTTCGTCTGGTGAGTGAGGTAGCCGGGGCCCACATTAAGAGGTGGCAACTCTACGGGTGTTGTAAATGTCCATGGGCAGACGGTTATCATTTAACATCAGGTGTTCCCCTGCTCGCGTGACAACTTTTCATATTAAAATGAAATACAAAATGTTTCACTCGTTTAATTATTTAACGTTCAATTTAATAAGTTTTGCGAGTTCCTAACACTTTCGCACATAAAAAAAGCCCAGTTTTATGTAGTTGTTTTAATCGTATTTAATCGTAAATTAAATATTATTATGTCGATCGATCTCGTATGAGCGTTAGTATTCTAAGTGAAAGCGAGTAAAATCCAATTCGTTTGTTGTTAGGGAATTATTTTAGGAGCACTAAAATTATTCAAGGATCATTTCGGACTCCAAAAATGGGCGAATACGGAGCAACGAAATTGTCACGAGTTCTCAAATTGAATCTGGTATCTGGGGTTTTTATCGCTTGGCTAAGTCGCGATAAGGCACGGGAGCAATTAGGTCCTGTGCGGAGAGCCCTCAACGCTGAAGATGTTCGACTTTAATACGGCTTTGCCATTCGTAATGTCCGCAGCGGACAGTTTATCTAAATTAAAGCGACTAGGTCCTCCGAATGTTCGGTGCTTGAATGCTTTTAATATTTGCTTGTGTAATAACTAGCGCCGCTTCTTTGAGATTTTCTGAAGCTAAAATCTGCATAGATTTGCTAAATTTATGCGAATAAATTATTGCTATTAGAACATTAAAAAAGAAACTTATAACAAAAGTAACTAAACAACAAACTCAGGGAATGAGACAATTTTAGTATAACTGAGCTAAGAATCTAGAGGTAGAAATCTTATTCTCATTCATATATAAAAGTTTTTTTTTTAAATTAAGATTTAAACTATCATTAAAGTTATACAGCTATTCTCCAATTAACTGGCCTTTGTATTAATCGCCATTATCTCATAACATTAAAAGGAATAAGAAGTAAGAGGAAAAATTATGACAGGCACAAAATAAAAAAAAATCTCTATTGAAAACAAAGATAACAAAACAGTTAACTGTTAAACCAGTTAATTGATGGTTCGGAACGTTTTAGGGTTCCTTTCCCAAAGGGTGAAACGGGACCCTATTACTAAGACTCCGCTGTCTGTCTGTCTCTCTGCCTATCTGCCCGTCTGTCACTAGGCTGTATCTCATGAACCGTGATATTTAGACAGATTATGTATTTCTGTTGCCGTTATAACAAAAAATACTAAAAAACCGGCCAAGTGCGAGTCGGATCATCTATAAAAACTTCAAAAAAACATTTAAATATTTTTTATTGTTTTTAGTATATGTTGGTATAGCTATCGCACGGAAATCACTCAAGGGATTTATCGTCCTATTATACTTTTAATCTCTTCAAAATGAAAACCCGTTCAAACTTTTCAATCTGAACCAGCTGTTCGAACAAGTTAGAGCCGATGCTCATAAGAGTTTAACTAGCGATCTAAAATTTATTAAACTTAACTCCACGGATAAAAGTCAGACGATAGCGGCGCCTCCATAAAGGTTAAGCTCATGCAGGGAGCCGCAATGTGTCTGGATTAAGTAGGACGTTGTAGTAATAAATTCCATAAGGATTTTAACTTTCAAAACTCTGAGGTAAGTTTTAGCATCCATGCATTAGTTGAGTGGAGGAGGAAAGTTTTAAGTTTTACCGTCTTGCTCAGTTAATATGTGAGATTATGGACCGGTGCAAAATTACTCGCGGAAAACCACGTTTTAATGGCAGGCGTTTCTTTCTGCGATTTGTGTGTTTGTTCTATGGACACTAACAAGGTATCTTGGCAGTTATGTAGAAAGACAGATGAAATAATTTAAACAGTAAGGAGTAAAATTTTCCGATTCCTTTTAATTTCTAAAAATAAATACAACATCACATTAAATGAACTCGATAATATTAATTCAAAATGACACACATATCCTATTCGATTGGCGGACTTCACATTTCTTCGAAATATTTTACTTGTTATTACTTAAAAAATATGCAGGTTTCCTCACGATGTTTTCCTTCGCCGAGGGACAGTTAGCACTTAAAATCAACAATTTTACTGGTGCCGGCACCAGGTATAAAACTCAGTTTGCTCAGTCAACTCGCTATCACGTCATTAGCCCATGCAATAGCTTCCCATTTTAACAGAAGACCAGCGTAAAGTAGAGGCATTGTAGATACCGTTACGTTTCGTTTCCTGAGAGAGGTTACCGGGGCCCACTGTTGGCAGCAGTTAAAGGTTGGCAGCACGGTTCAAAAATTAGGTAAATTCCTTCCACGACTTGCAAACGAGTGCACAAATATACATATAGGTACTGAGCCATATAAATAAGGCAAAGAATATGTACGAAACACGCCCAGCTCAAACGAAGTATAGCTTACGACGTAATATCCCCGTGCGAAACGGATTAACTAAATACCAATGGGAACATGTAAAAGGTGGAATCGACTTCGGCTGCTCAATCTGGGCCTGGAGGAGGGCCGACACTGAGCCGACGTAAATCCTACTGGGTACACAATTACTGATCCCTGGGTAAGTATACTCACAAAGCTGCCTCATAGACTGTTCTTAGGTTACGAGCTTTTGATTATCAGACTACGCGCGATGCTATCTCTTGTTACTCGTATAAATCTCATTATTTTCGCTTTAATGAAGCATTCGTTTACATTTCGTATAAGAACTGTAACAGTTTGTTTAAAATAAGATTAGAATTTAAAATACATTATCAAATATTGCGGTTACACTTCTGGCACACGAATTATTAAATAATATTATTTACCTAACATAATATTATTTAATATTAGTATTAAAATTATTACAATATAATAAGTAATAGAATTACTTTTTAGGTGTTGTGTCTGTATTTACGTTTTAATCTTATATAATATTTAATAATTTTCTAGTCTTTGTATATAACATATTTTAACGGGATTTGTAAGAGCCTTTACATTTAGTAAAGGCTCTTACGTTTTTTGTTTATATGCAAACAATAAAACGATAAATTCGGTGAACATTGATATATTAACGAAGTCAAGTGGTAATTTACAACAACTCAAATTGATTACACAGCATCATGAATGTGTAAAAAGCTGAAAAAAAAAATGGAATTTATATAATAACTAGCCGGAATATATTGAATTCTACCGGCTAGTAATGGGTAGGGTAAAGGAGAAAACTTTTCTAAACATAACCTAGTTATTATAACGATAAAATAAAAATAAATAAATTTTCAAAATGCAACTCTTTTTTGTCACTACTTTAGGTCACATGGGTGTGAGCCCTTAACCCCACTAAAGCCTACACTGACTCTTTCATTGAACACTAAATGAATGCACACAAAATATCCTAATAGTTAAAATAGTTAATTAACTATTTGTGCGACCCACAGATAGTTGTTTCGCATTTGGGTGTTTGTCCTCGTGCAACACAGGATAACGTTATCCTTCCGGGCACTCTCAATAATAATCCGGCCAAGTGCAACTCCGACTCGCGCACGAGTGGTTCCGTACCATTATCTATAAAAAACGGCGAAAATATCATGTTTGTTGTATGGGAGCCTCACTTAGATATTTTTCTATTCTATTTTTTAGTATTTGTTTTTATAGTGGCAACCGAAATACGTCATTTGTGAAAATTTCAACTGTCTATTACGGTTCCTGAGATAAAATCTGGCGACAGACGGACAGACAGACAGCGGAGCCTTAGTAATAGGGTCCCGTCTTACCCTTTGGATACGGTACCATAAAAACGAGTATCCTTCAAACGATATGCAAACTGACAGAGAGACAGCGGAGTCTTAGTAACAGGGTCCCGTTTTACCCATTGGGTACGGAAAAGTACCTAAAAAGGATTACCATAAAAACACAAATAACTCCGCCATTCATTGTGCAGTAAACTTGTGAAACATGCACGACAAATAACTTTGCCACTCATTTAAACTTTTGCGACATGCACGAAATACGAAAACAAGGGACAAACATGCGTCTGGAAATATTCGTCTATAGTTATGCGTCCACCGCAAAATTGCCTCCACTTCAATTTTTATTTCCACCGGCGGAAAACGTGCTCGCTGATGGAAATTGGCCAGCCCGTTATAGTAATTGAAGGGTTTCACCGGAACTCCATATTTCTTTTCTGTAAACCTTACATTGTATCGTGTTCGCGGGGTTTCAAATCGCAGGTTATCAAATGGGGAATTTGTTACATTTATGGTATATCGTGGCTTTTTGTACAAAAGTATAAAAAAATTAAGGACGTGTAGCCGGAGTACAGTGAAACATTTACATCTGCCCAAAAAAACCAAAAATAAAACATTATCTATTTTTGGGTTTCGGACTAATTTTATTTTGTCACAAAAAATCACATAAATCGAAATTAAGAGTACGCAATAAATCTGATATTAAAAAAAGCTTGATCATTGGAAATTGAAGCTGTTAGTTAAAAATAAGAGAAAAATGTATAAATAGGAAGTTCCAAATCGATCAACTATTCAGACAATTTTATCTTGATATCAATCAGTTATAGTCTTAAAATCGTATTAGATTCATTACAAATTTCATTATATATGGCAACCCACACAAAGCGTAGCTTTTACTATTATCCTTGCGGCAAATTTGCATATGGTCTTATACGGTAACAAGTCACCAACTTCAACCAAAAACAACTTTAGCATTGTGTTAGACACTGTTTTAGTTAATAAAGTTTAAACTAGTTTCATTTTCGAATAATCAAACAACAAATAGTAATAATCAGTCAGTAAATATTTGATGTTCAATAATAAACAAACAAGCATTGAAGTTAAAGTAAAGTCAAGTTACAGCCTATACATGTCCCACTGCTGGGCAAAGGCCTCCTCTATACAGAGGGTATCAGGGCATTGTCCACCACGCGGCCCCACTGCGGATTGGCGTACTTCACATATCTTCGAAATATTTATACACAGCTTATGTGCATCTGAAACAATGTATCTTCGAAACGGTACAAGAATTTTTAACATAGGTACAATGAGATAACCCTCCTACACATACGAATAAAAACTAACTAATACGAATAATAACTGTGGTAGGACCACGCAACAGTCTTCGCTGTTGCACGCATGGGCAGGTCCGTCCAGTTAAGTACCACGATCACACAGAATCACAGGCGTGTAGTGGAAGTTTTGTACTTCTGCGTTTCGTCTGGTGAGTGAGGCAGCCGGGGCCCCCTTTATTAAAATGCTTCAACGCATGGACAACCCTATAGGTGTTGCAAAAGTCCATTGACTTTTGCAACATTGGCGGCGGTTATCACTTAACATCAGGTGAACCACCAGCTCGTTTGCCACCTTTTTACATATAAAAAAACCGAACTTTTTCTTCACACAACAATATTTTTCCAGAAATTGTCGAGGCACGTGTAGACCTTTACAAGATGTAGTCACAATACTTCGGTTCACGGAATACAAAGTCGACTCCACTGAAACTTTTGTAATGCGTAACCCATAATGGCTTTTAAGGCTTTGTGAACATTATGAGTGGTTCTATTGGGGTTAGGGTATTATTTAACTCTGAAGGCTCGCTTACACTTTGTCGGTCGTAAAACTGAAATTGGATTTCCTATCGATAGCTTCGATTGCTTGCCGGGAAACGCGAAGTGTGTAATAGAAAATATTTTGAGCGTTGGAACCTAGCGTAATTAGAGGTTTGTTCCTATGGTTACTTGTAAAGTATTCATATAAGAGACATGGCTATGTAAACTGGCAGGTTTAAGAAATTTATTAAAAAAAAACTTTACAAATGAAATGAATACATTAATGACAATAACCCCTGGGAATGAGTTGATTGCTCCCAAGCTATTTGTAAAAGAAAAAAAGTCAGTTGAATAATATTTTAAGAAAAGAAAAAAAAATTAATGATCAAAAAGATGATACCTACGGAGTTTCTTTCGCCTGTTTCTTCTCCGCTAGAGGAACCTCATTACGAAACGGTGGTAGAAAGAAAATATGACTATCGATAGATGGAAATGTAAGCTTCTTATGTCGATGAATAAATGATTTTGATTTTGATTTTAGGGAGAAATTGCTATTGCAAGTCAACTGGATTTTTTTTCTATTATGTAAAATTCATTTGGCAGGGGCTCTGATCACCCGTGAACCCCAAATCCCCATTTAGTCGCCTTGTACAACGGGCAGAGGATACCTTAGCTATTTACCCGTATACAGCGGACAGCCCCTTATAAATAAAAAAAAGCCATTTCTAAAAGTCAAAGATACTCCTGTAACAAAATGGAATGCAATATAAATGAAATGTAAAATTTGCCAAGTGCCGGACTCACGAAGTGTTCTGTACCATTATCTATAAAAACGGCAAAAAATCATGTCTGTTGTATGAGAGGCAACGGAAACACATCATCTTTGAAAATTTCAACTAACTATCACGGTTACAGCCTGGTGACAGACTGACAGACGGACAGCGAAGTCTTAGGGTTTCATTTTACCCTTTGGGTACGGAACCCTAATAAAGCAATGACACCGTAATGTGATCATTGGCGTATAAATATTTGTGCTGTTCAAAATGTCCATGCTCCGATGCATAACTAATGACCGTTACCGTTTTACGCACAAATCAATTGCATTTGGAAATTCATTTTACTTCCTGTGTAAATTTTAAATTAATTTGTTCGTAATTAGCGGGGAATTATTAAAGCACAAAGCTCTGTAATTGAACGGAACCGGCAAAAGAGAAATGAGTTATTGAAGCAATAAACTAATTTGTAACATTATTGAACAAAACGTGGGATACGTTTGTTCATCATGCAAACTGTTTAAATACAAGTTGAAAATATTTTATCTGATAGAATTAATAGAGTTTTTGAGGCATATTTAACGCACATTCCGAGCCACAATAAATTCCACTATGAGATCAAATGTCAGTGTCATTAATGTATATTTATTACATATATATTTATTACATATATATTACAATTCAAAGTTAAAGTCTTGAATTACTCGTACTTATGTTATCTGAGCGCGTCGGTGAAGATTGGATAGCTTCAAATACATCCATGGACGATTGACTAATGCTGAGATCACTCTATACTATGACTATAAAAAAGATATGTTCGAATTTTGGGAGATCATGTGAATGTGGAGGGTAATCCCCGTGACTCTTTAGAATAGTATATACATTTACTAGCGACCTGCCCCGGCTTCGCACGGGTGCAATGCTGAATTGTTTTCTTTGCATGAATTATACATATTAACCTTCCTCTTGAATCACTCTATCCGTTGAAGAAAACCGCATCAAAATCCGTTGCGTAGTTTTAAAGATCTAAGCATATAAAGGGACAGACAGCGGGATGACTTTGTTTTCATACTATGTAGTGACATTGCATTTATTTGAAAAATCACCTCTCTATTTGTAAGACGAATTATTCTAGATGGATATAGGAACAGCTAGGATTATTATTTATATCTGTTCATGTAACAGTTATGTGACGACCATTACATGTACTGAAGGAATTGAATGTAGATACTGAAGTAAACATGGACGATGTAGAAGCGGCTGAGTGTAAAAATACAACGCGCGGTCACCTTGGTTTCGATTACGAAGTGGAAAGAGCTGTCATCAGAAATTTTAGGAGTTGAGTGGATAGGGCTAATGCGATCGAACAGATACCATATCCCGGGCAACTATCGCGTTCAATTTACGCTATGACGCATGAAGCGGTTTACGCAAGCACTGAAATGTAAAAGCAGAAGTTACGACGAGCCCCGCCCACACTGACATCAGCTTATTGCTGCCTTTTTCTAATATTATGTTTATTAGCTGATAGCAAGACAGCTACATTGCTTGTCACCTGTTCTCATCAGTAAAAGCTATCATAGGCTATCTCGATAAATGAACCGATTTTAATCGAGAACAAAGAGATGTCCAATGGCGCAGTGGGTACTGTAACCGCCTCCTGCGTCAGAAGGTATGAGTTCGATCTTCACTACTGGAAAAATATTGTGTGATGAAAATAGTGTTTGGGTGTCTATGTATGTATAATATGTATTTATTTACAAAATATGTTTAAGAATGTTCATGTCATCAGTTATTTAGTACCCATAATACAAGCGTTGCTTACTTTGGGACAAGAGAACTTTGTGTAAAAATGTGTCCTAAAAACATATTTCTTGAACCTTGGTAAACTTAACCGAAGGTAGGGAACTCTAGCTCTTCTGAAACTTAATCGTCCGCTATAAACGCAATAGCTGTAAAAGCTCTATCGAAACGTGTTGTTATACAAAATTTTTAGGTTAGGTGACACTATGCTCAGTTGGTAACAAGGCAGCAACTGTTACATGAATAAGCAAGCTCACCATGGCCGTAAAGAAGACCGGCGTGAAGTGAAAGAATGAATGAATGAATGAATGAATGAATGAATGAATGAATGAATGAATATCAAGTGGAAGTATTCTTTCTTCTTGTGAGTGACCGGGGCCTACTCTTGTATCTTGTATTAACTGATGTTTTTGCTTTCACTCCCGAGACTATTAAAGCTTCATCTGAGGCAGAACCGGTGGGCTAGTCAGAAACCACGGGTTTGGGCCCTCCGCTGTGGGTAGGGGCCTATTCTTATATAGTTTGTAGTGATTGCCTAATTGAATAGAAAAAAAACAATTTTTCCGAAGGGAAATTCCTTTTGCATATTTTTCTAATTGAAATTAAAAATGTTTTTTATTCAAATACGCTACACTAGCGCTTACTTATGATACTTCGCACTGTACTTAAAAATTGATACACAAGTTCGTAAGTAACCACCGGTTCTGAAAGCAGTTTATGTTGAGAACCGGCAAGAAACTCAACATTATTTCATTCACCCTACTTTCGTTGAGACTTACTACCTAACCCCTTACACACAAAATAAAAATATCTAAAATATTATTTACTGAATATCTGTTGAGCTGACGCTTATCCAATTCAATTTTTATTTATTTATTTATTTAGTATTTATTGCATTTCCTTTAATACGGACCACAATAGGCGGACTTAATGCCTATAGTGTGGTGAGATCTTTAGGCAGGTGCAATAATAAAACTTTATTTTTTTTTATGTGAAACGAGCAGAGTTGCCAAACGAGCAGACGGTTCACCTGATGTTAAGTGAATACTGCCGCCCATAGACATCTGCTACACCCGAGGGTTTGCAGATGCGTTGACAACCTTTTTGGAAATTGGGCTCCGGCTACCTCACTCACCAGACGAAACGCGAAAGTATTTGTCATACTTCCACTTTACGCCGGTCTTCTGTGAGGTCGTGGTACTTACCCGGACGAGCCTGCCCATTCGTGCAACAGCCGAGGCTGCTGCGTGGCTCTACCAAATTATCAAATAACTTAAAAAAACAAACTTAAATTATCAAATAATCAAACAAATACTTTACATACAAAAATATATATAAAATATGTTTTCCTAAGGTCCTATTTACAATACGGACTCTGCGCACAGGATATTTATTTAGTGGCATTTAATTTTTGATATGCCTATTTATGTTTTTTTTATCGGTGTATTTAATTTTACAATACGCTCAACGCACTCCCGGCCGGGTGGCCCGTGGGGTCGTCGACCCCGCATCGATCCCGCCAACTAGGTCAAGCGGTCTTCCGACATAGCATAATATCTCTTAATGAATCAGGAAGCGCTATTTGCGACGCGATAAAGCGTCCATTTGTTCACCTCAAAACGCTTTTATCGGCGCTAGTTTCGAACTTTTTAATGCTATTACTATTTCATGCATTTCTCAGAGCTCCGGAAAGACATGGAAAGAGCCGTGATACCTCAGTGTCGGGCGCTCTGCGGGTGCTCGGGGCGAGCAACCCGAGTTCAAATCCCGGTGCCGGCTCCAAAGAAATTGTTAATTGCTTAATATTAAATATTTCTAAAATAAGTGAAGTTCGCCAATTCGCAGAGGGGTCACCCTGGTACCCTATGTACAGATGAGGCCTTTGCCCAGCAGAGGGATACATATAAGTAAAACTCTAAGGCCTATCTCAACGCAACGCTGGACACTATTACCTGGATTGTGGATGTCTTAATTTCAATAGAGATAGGCAGACTAGAGAGGCTGCGATTGGGCATCGATATGAATAGATTGGGATGCGATTGTCGCTGTGTACCAGGAAATGTTTTATTCGATAAATTTATATTTAAATGTTCATAAAATTGAGTTGAATAAGGTAATTTCGAGTTCAATTCAGAAACACAAAGGAGGCTTGATTAATTTCGAACCTGCAATTGCAGTTTGTTGAAGAATTTAAAGCAAATAGCGATTTAAGTGTAAGCAGAGGTATTTCAGAATAATCCTTAGCAATATAAATCAATAAAAATTCTGATATAAATTCACCGGTTTCACTCTTTTTTACTTTTCACCGCTACCCCGATATCAACGCTTTTGTGGATATCCAGGAATGGTCACTTACCAACACGCGGAACAACAGTTTGTGTTCTACTTTAAAAAAAGTTAAACAAAGTCCCTATGAGTCGCGTGAGTGACCTACGTTAATCACGACGGAACAATGTTGCACTGCTTTTGATGCATCACATCGTCCATTAACTGGATTAACATATCACGCACATTGCGAGGGTGGCGCCTGCAGTACTCTTGACAGTATGGGGTTACCACCGCTCGAATGTGGACACCTGCAGCACTAGTATTGTCGCAGGTGTATTGCCAGCTTTTAATAAGGCGCGCTACCTCTTTTTAGTTACCTCATTTGCTGGACCCTGATAGCTTAGTCGGCACCCAGGTTTTCAAATTTATCCCTCGGCACATTTGGTGTCATTATAATGTACTTTAATTAACTTTGGTAAAAATCTGAGTTCAATTAGCTAAATATCTTCCTCGTGTGAACTCGCAAAACGTATTAAATTGAACGTAAAATAATTAAACGCGCTCGTTTAATTATTTTAATACAAAATGTTTCGCTAAACATTTTGTATTTCATTTTAATATGAAAGTTGTCACGCGAGCAGGGGGACCACCTGATGTTAAGTGAATACCGCCGCCCGTGGACATCTGTTATACCTGAGGTTTGCAGATGCGTTGACAACATTTTAAAAATTGGGCTCCGGCTACCTCACTCACCAGATGATACGCGAACGTATTATACTTCCACTTGACACCGGTCTTCTGTGAGGTGGTGGTACTTACCCGGACGAGCCTGCCTATTCGTGCAACAGCCGAGGCTGCTGTGTGACCCTACCAAAGTGAAAAGGATTTGACATCCTTACTTATATTATAAAGGCGAAAGTTTGTATGTATGGATTGATGTTTGTTACTCTTTCACGCAAATACTACCGAATGGATTTTAATGAAACTTTACAATAATATAGCTTATAAATCAGAATAAGATATAGGCTATAATTTATATAATTTTTTTATGTATATCTGTCTTTCTGCCTGAATACGCCTTCAGCCTATTCCACGCAGACGTAGTCGCGGGCAGCAGCTAGTGTTATGGTAATTAATAAGGATAAAAAGGAAGTAATTCTGAATAATTCTAATACTAGAAGATAGGATTCTCTCTCAAGCCCACGGATTATTAGGCATCTGTCATTCAATTTTACTTCACTATATAGTATAAAACAAAGTCGTCCCGCTGTCTGTCTGTCCCTATGTATGCTTAGATCTTTAAAACTACACAACGGATCTTGATGCGGTTTTATTTTTTCTATATAGAGGTTTCAAGAGGAAGGTTTTTATGTATAATAAATTATATCCGTATGAAGCCGGGGCGGTTCGCTAGTTTTTGGTATAATATTGTCGTGAACCCTAAATTGAAATATTTAAAATTGTATTGCATGGCGGCGGTAGGAGAAAATATCGTCAATCCAGAATAGTTAGATCCTATCAACAAGAATAATCGTTGGCCATAACGTTAATGCCCCTCCTTTGTCACCACGACCCAATAACAAACACATTACGTACATAATTAATAGTGTGAGCAATATTCGCGATCAGCGTTTGCCGCTCGCGTGACCAGCTCCAATAAATCGCAGGCAGTTCTCGCGGCAGCTGCCAATCCGTCACGTGCGCCCGAGATTGACACGCTGCAGTAGACACGGTTCGCGCGCAATTTGTGTCACGCGTCACGTCACTCGATACCGATAAAAAGTTTTGTTAAATAAAACTGCTTTACGGATTATCGCGTCCGAATTTGGTTCTTGATCCCCGACTGGACACGCAGCAGTCTTCGCTGTGGCATGAATGGGCATGTCCGTCCATATGTACCACTACCGCACAGAATACCGGCGTGTAGTGGAAGTTATATTGTGCGTTTCGCCTGGTGACTGAGGTAGCCGGGGCCCACTTTATTGAAAGGGCAACCCATCTGCAGCCCTACGGGTGTTTGAAATGTCGATGGGCCGCGGTTATCACTTAACATCAGGTAAACTACCAGCTCGTTTGACACATTCTCATATAAAAAAAAGAAAGGAATATTGTTCTTTGGAACGGCATGGTGGAGCGGACGCTATGGAACCCGAACATCTCCCTGCTTAATTCGACGCAGAGAACTATTTATTCTTCATAGTGGCAGCCTCTAAAATTTGCTCGATACATCTGACTGAGCTTTTAAAATGCACTCGTTTTAAACCCGTCCAAATCAAAATACATGATTTTGGGAACTAAGAGGCAGTGCGAAATGGTTATAAGCAGAAAATTCAGATCGAAATTAATAACATATCAATTGAGAGAGTGGCAAAAGAGAAAAACTCGGGACTTGGCATGGATTGTCAACTGAGATATATCGAACATATTAACATCAAAATAAGAAACGCTTTCTATAAATTAAAATTATTATATAATATCAGAACACAGCTTACAGAGAAAGTCAGGGAAGTACTTGTGGAATCCCTGGTGCTGTCGCACGTATTATATTGCGACTCGGTGTACGTACCTCGGCTGTATTCGATGAAGAGGCTCGCGATTCAGCTTGTCCAAAATTCTGCTACAACATCCCACGCCGGGCGCACGTAACCCCTTATCTCAATGAGAAAGGTACAATCAAAATGGCAGCACGCAGGGAATTACGTTTTGCCGAAATGGTTCGCAAGGTAATGATGCAAAAGAAACCGGAATACCTGTTCAACAGTTTACATTCAAGCAATGCAAACATACCTGCGAGAGTCAGAACAGTGCAGTTGAGTTATCGAAACATATAGGGGCGGGTTCCGAAAGTAGTTTCCGTTTTAGCGCATCGAAGATAAGGAATGACTTACCACCACCACCACCACTACGAATTTTTTTTTTTTTTTTTTTGGGCTGGATGAGCCACTGTTGGCCTTAGGGGCCTTTACAGATCCGACGGACTTGAGGTGGCCTGGCGCACGAGGCGCCTAGCCTGAACCTCGGCGTACTATTATTACGCGTTATGGTGACTAAGCTCGAAGGCTCCCGGGGGAGCCTCGGCTCGGGGCGTCACGCTATTATTATCACCGGTTTGTGAGGCCGCCAAGCTCTTAGGGCGCTTTGGCGGGCGCTCCATGGAGTGATCAGGCTCAAGGGTCCCCGAGAGGGGACTTCGGCTTGGGCTGTCACTCAGCACGCGTTTAGCATTCCGATTCGAGGGTGCCCGAGAGGGCCGGACCTCGGCTCGATCGGTAGCTATTATCTGACTGGACCACTACGAATGAGTGTGTCGAACTATATATACCTTTACAAAACAACTCAGGCAGACAAGTTGTGTACGGTTCAAAATCAAATACAAATTTTAACTAAATGATTACCTTTTTATTTTACAATTTTTTTAATTTTACATCGCATTTTCACTGTAATTTGTTTTTTTGTTTGTTTTCTTATCTTTATCCTCTTTTGTGTCTTCCTCCTTGGTGTTCAGTACGGTAGTTATTGATATTTAGATACACATTATTTTTATTACTATATTATAGAGAGCAAATGATGTGGTAGGTAGTAAGTTTTAATCCTTACTAATATTATAAAGGCGAAAGTTTGTATGTATGGATGATGTTTGTTACTCTTTCACGCAAATACTACTGGATGGATTCTAATGAAACTTTACAATGATGTAGTTTATACATCAGAATAAGACATAGGCTATAATTTATATACATATTTTATGTATATAAGTCTTTCTGTCTAAATGTTACGCCTTCAGCCTAATCTACGCAGACGTAGTAACGGGCCGCAGCTAGCATGGGATATCCTGAAAATCAGCACTGAGAAATTCTTAGAAATCGCTGAGCTTATTACCTTTTTGGAAAAATATAATTTATATATTTTTTGTGTATTATAGATTTATTTTATATCTTGTTTTTTCTTTGTTCATATTTTTCTGTGTATTTTTCTTTTTTTTTGGGGTTATGGTAAGTAAGAATTATTATTATTATTATCATAAACGGCTGTTACCCTAAGATACATAGTATTGGATAGATTTTGATGTGATGGAATCAAATCAAAATCTATTATTACATAAGTCATCTGTGGTATATGTCGACCAGATGATGTCCTGGCCATTTTCAAAATGATTCAACCAAAATTTCACAGCAAATTTTGAACGTCGCGGATCTCACTACGACAGAGTATTCTAAATGTCGTGAATTTAAATTTAGTTTAAACCTAATTAAGTTGGCAATTATTACTTTCTTTGATAATTTCAAAAGTACTCAGAAGACGTCAACTCATGTATGAAATTCACATAATTGGTGCACCGTCAGCCAATTAGAGCGTTGTTTTAAAGTTCCTATTTCAACCTTACTTGTCAAAAGTAATTATAACAAATTTATGACTCATAATTTGTTTGTTTAATGGTTTTACATAAAACGAATCAAGATAATTGTCTTATCGTGTCTTGTATTTCACTTACATTCTTTGTTTTGTTTCAGGTAAGAGTAAATATGCATAATTTCAAGAGAACTCTACTGGGTAAGTATGTAGGTGTCATTGTTGCGTGTGTTTGCGTTTAATGGTCGCACATTATATATTTTTGTTGAAATATGTACGTTTTTTGGAGGCCATCACTCTTTTTTGGTATTTATAATTCAAATAATCGGTTTAAATGACTAGTTTTAACGAGGAAATGGCTACGTCTGTAAAAATACCTGCAGGTATCTCATTTGTTAATGAATATATGAAACCTTCGATATGCTTTCTTTGTCACCAAAAAAATTCAAATCAAATATCCAAATTAGTTAACACAAAGCTAAATTTCTTTTGATTTATGAAGATTTGTTTAATAGCAGAGTGGGTTTGATACGTTAAAAAAATTCAATTTCCTTTCATACATTTAACTGCAGTATTATTTTAAATATTCGTTAAATTAAATGAGCATTCGTTACGTTGATTTAAGTATAAAACGTTTTCGTCCATATGCCTGCAACTGAAAATATTCCTAGCAAAAAGCAAGATGAACTGGATTGTAAAAATGAAAATATGTTTATTGACAAACTGAATGACATTTCAGGATAGTATACGATTGCCAACTATATTACAAATTTTCCATTCCAGTTACAGAAGTATATTTAGTAATTACAGGTTCATAATAATATGCTTCTGAAAGCCTTCAGCCACTTACATGACTCGTTTTAGGTAGATTTTTGTTTATATTATACACTACCGATTTAAGTTTCAGAGTAGATTTTAGTCTTAATATCTATTGAACTTGAATCGATGACACCGATCAGTGAAGTATATTATCTGTATTTCACGGTGCCTTCCAGAACTGAGTATATTGTTCATCGACAAAATATCAATTAATATTTCAAATTGTCATTGTGTATTCTGTTGTAATATATATTTGTTTTCATGTACAATACATATTTAAACAAAAAATTCTATTATTATTTAATACAATGTAAGAAACTAATTATGTAACCGGTTATAAATTTATAGTTTCGAGCTGGCATTAAAACAGAGTTATATCTTTAAGATTCAAGGCCATCAATAGATTTGAGATAGACGAAATAAAACACGTAGTTTTTATAAAACCGTTGTTGCTTAAAATTTTACAACTTTACAATGGAAGATATCCCAATATTTTCTGTCAGATTAGGCAAAAGTAAAAATACTTAAGACTTCGGACTCAGGTTGGCCTGCCCTTTCACCTGTTCGCAGCAGTATTTGATGGATGGATGCCACAAATTGTGCTGTCGAAGTGGCTAAGTTCTGGGCCGGAAGGATATGATTTGTCATCGACACGAGGAAGAAGGGAAAAGAAGGAAAAAAGAGAAATAAAATTTTAAAGAATTAATTGAAATCTGTCTAGAAGTTTTTCAGAACGGCGGGCCTCTATCATTTTATTTATAGCTATGTATTTTTTGCTATCATTTTTTTTAAATAGTTCACATACTTTCAGTCTTAAACAATAACAAAATAAATAATTGATACTTATATTAGCCGCTAAGAGCCGCGATAGCTAATTTTCCGGGCGATTGTTTTTAATTTACTATAGTCGAGCAACTTGAGTTCGACTCCATGGACGACACCAATAAAAATGATATTTTTGAAGTGCCGACTCATCACGTACGATGCAAAGAAATATTTCAAATATGAATGTTTCGATGTCCGCCAATCCACACTAGAGCCGCGAGGTGGACTATGCCTAATAACCTCTGTACGGAGGAGGCCTTTGCCCAGCTGGGAGACATAATATGTAGGCTATTAATTATTCTTTACTTTACTTTGTTTTGGAATGCATAACTAAGATGCACACACATTGCGCATAATTGTTATACTTTATGATGTTCAAAAATTTAACTGATGAAAATTATAAGATGAATGAATGAATGAATGAAAGGATACACAAAATTTTCCAATTCCAGGCAACCGATGGCGTGAAGGAACGATTACTAGATATGATGACGTTTATAAGATGCTGAATATTACGAGTATTATATGTTTAATTTCCAGCTTAGACTTATTTTAGCCGCAACAAGTTTGACAGAGTTTGAAACTCTAACGCTATCCATATTTTTCAGTAATCATTTAGCTCCAAATATGACATGTAGATTCAAAACAACTTAATCATGACTCATAACCACGATTAAAACAACTTAATCATGATCTATAACCATGATTAAGTTGTTTTGAATCAACTCGTCGAAGTTGTTTTGAAAATTAATTTACCGAATCGTTTAACGTTCCGTGGTCGCATCAATATAGCACACATACGCAGTAAGTTCCAAATATATAAATGCATGCCATTCCACAGAGTGTAAAGTTTAAGAATAGTGCGCAATTTATACTCAAGAAGTAAAGACGGCTTTGTTTCCGTTTCAAACGTTGCCATGTCTCGGCGCGCGAGTTTCACTGTCAACATCCTCCTGATACTCGCCGCTTTGGTCCTTACGAATCTGGTGCGGTTGCAATTTCTGTCAGTAAACAGACCCAGGGCCCTTTGGAATACCCAGAATCCGTTCTGAACTTCACCGAACGCAGTACCAAGCACGGATACATCAGTGACGAGCACACTGTGTTGACGGAAGACGGTTACATCCTCACGGTGTTCCACATGCGGAGTAGAGAGAACTGCTCAAGGCAGCCAGGGCGGCCCTTAATCCTGATGCATGGACTATTGATGAGCTCGGATACTTGGTTGGACGCGGGCCCTGGCGCGAGCCTAGCTTACCTCCTAGCCGACGCATGCTTCGATCTATGGCTCGGCAACATCCGCGGCAATTGCTACGGCAGGAGGCACGCCACGCTCGACCCGGACGCCGATCACGAGTTCTGGGACTTCTCGGTGGATGAAATGGGAGCGTACGATGTACCCGCCATTGTGGATCACGTGCTGAATCAGACGGGATCAGACAGAGTGGACTATATAGGATACTCGCAAGGTGGTGGCGAGATGCTGATCATGTGCTCGGAGAGGCCGAGCCTGTGCAACAGAGTGCGGACCTTCATCGCTGTCGCACCGGCGACCCGGTTGACCCACAGCAAATCCTGGACACTGAGAGTATTGTTCAATGTGCTACGACTTACGGGCGACTTCCTCGGTTGGTTTAGATTCAAGGAACTATTTCCGAAAGGCGGCGTGGGTCAGATTTTATTGTCCCACCTCTGCCAATACGACGTGCTACTGGAAATGATCTGCAGAGGGAGTCTCAGCATGGTAGACTCTGAGCACGAGGGCTCCATAAAAGCGGAGACTCTGAAAGTCGTACACGCAAATTTCCCAAGTGGAACTTCAGTTCGCACTTTCGTTCGATACGGGCAAGCGTTGCGCAGTGAGGGCTACCGGAAAATGGATTACGGTGAAGAAAGGAATCTCAAACTGTACGGCGTAGCCACTCCTCCGTACCACAACATCAGTGCTGTCACCATTCCCACGGTGATTGTATACGGGAGGAACGACTATATAATTGACCGTAAAGACGTGGAATGGCTGGCGAACAGCTTGCCAAACGTGCTGCAGATTGTGGAAGTTTGTGATCCTATGTGGAACCATTTCGACTTTATGTACAGTCAGCACACAAAAGCGATGGTGTTCCCAACAGTTTTAAAATATTTAACGAGGGCCAGCGATAGTTAGAAGAAATACATGTTTTCAGATAAGTTGAACAGTGCGAAAATAATGAACATTTAAGAAAGGACACTCATGAAATATTTTTATTTAATGTAATAATTATGTGGCATTTCAAAATATATATTTATTTACAAAACACAAGTTTCAAGTATGTTTAGGTATGTTTATCAGTTAATCTAGTACCCATAGCACAAGCGTTGCTTAGTTTGGGACTAGAGAATGTTGTGTAAAAATTTGTTCGAATATTTATTTAGCACAAAAAAATGTTCACACTTTTTTAAAAGTGCTTACTCACGACATTGAAATTGATTATATCTACTTAATACTGACTACCTAATACTACTTTAATCAGTGGACACGTGATTTAGATAACAAAGAATGACAATCTCTACGTCGAAAGCCATTAAAACTTGCGACCTCAGATCGTTGAGCCGGCTAGCAACTGTGACAATGCTACTTTCATTACGGTAGGCGTTTTAGGTCTTCTTTTGGCGGGCAAAAGTATTCTTATAAGTGTTATTTTCCCCAATTACTTCACTCACCAGACGAAAGAAAAAGTGTTAATATTAAGTTACCTCGCATTTCTGTTTTCCCCTCCCCGAATACTGATTTTGAATTATTGCCTAAAATCTCTTTGGGATGAAAACGAAGTGAAATTGGAGTCACAAAACTAGGACGTGTTTTTTGTTGCACCGGTTTCAATAGTCAGGTGTACAAGCTATTCGAGCATTGCTAGCTTGACGATGTGTTATAGCCTACTTATAATTACTATGCTCAAAGTTGTGAAATAATCGAAAATCTTCCTAAAGCAGCAGTTACAGAGATAGATCGAGCTTAGTCACCATAGCGTTTAATAATAACACGCCGAGGTGCAGGCTAGGCGCCCCGAGCGTCAGGCCACCTCAAGCCCGTCGGAACTGTAAAGGCCCCTAAGACCAACAGTGGCTCATCAAGCCCAATTAAAAAACAAGCTAAATTACCACACGAAACGCTTGAGTATATTACTTCTAGTTCACGCCTTCCTTCTGTGAGTTCATGTTACTTCTCCGGACGGAACTGCCCATTCGCGCCACAGTGAAGACTGTTGCGTGGCTCTACCTTAGTTTTTTCGATGTCTTTTATATAATTTTTTGCAATTTTCAATTAAAATGAAATAGTACGGAAAAAATTACGTAGTTTCTTTATGTATTGATAATTCATTTACAAAGTGCTACTTTCGAAAATAAATTTTGGATATTTAAGGTACACTGGGTATTTTTTTTAAATTCAGTGAGTGAAAAGAACATTTCAGAGACTAGTTAACCAATTGATGGAGCGACGGCACAATTCAATACTACGAATTCGTAGGGTCTATTACATTAGTAGTAAATTTTCATAAAAATATATATCCCCAATCTATATGATAAGTATGAAATGTAACAAATCGGGGCTAATCCGATGGTGTTAAAGCCATAAATATAAATTTGTTTGGTAGCTTTTTCGTGTATTGATATCTTAGCGCCTACTAAAAATATTATTGGTCCATTCTATTTCTAAGAAAATATCAACGATGTGGTATGGTATGGTATTATAGCTTTGTTTAGGTAACGTTTCTTTTGTTACGAGTTTTGGAAATATTGCCTGGTGTAACGTAATAAATTGTAGGGAATTACTGAATAAATTTAAGTTCTAACTAATTTCAACAACATAGGGTTGTACTTTGATATACACAGCGATGCTGCCTCTCAAGAACATTTCATCGCAATCGGATCACCCGTGCAAATTTTCGGGATGCCTATGTCAAGAAGTCGACTAGAACAATCTGAAATGATCATGACGATGAAATCATTAAATTATATGCGTCAATATTATCAGTTTTAAAAAATTATGTGTTCTGTGATCATACAGTCACGTGAAGTAGATTTTCTCCATTAGATTGTCTAGTGACCACAAAGTTCTCGTAATTTCTAACTTGTCGTTTGATTCTACTAAGTATCACATACTTTGTTCGACTATTCATATTGAGTTAGATCGCTTGAAAGGCATAGGACGGTTGGAGGCTTAACAGGTAGGAATAAAACAATACTAAAACTGTAAATGGAGAATAGATAAATCCAAAGAGTCAAATGTGATTGTACGTTAACCCTTTTTTAACTGACTTCAAAAGGAGGAAGGAGATTCTCAAATCGACTGTATTTTTGTTATCTTATAACTTTGACTGAGTGAGATTTTGATGATTATTTTTTTATTCCAAAGCTGGTACTTCCCATGTGGTCCCGTATTAATTTCATTGGTTTTGGATCTGGGGCTCCGTGGAATAATTAGGGAACTCTTAAAAATCAATTATAAAATGAATACAGAGCGAGATATTTAAAGTCGGTATTGTTTATTGTTAGGCGCATTTTAATGCTAACATTTTCAGCTTCTGTATCTAATTAACTAAAATTGAGATTGTCGATGTTGTCGACTTTAGACAATCAGTCATTTTTTAACACATAACGGTTGTTAGATCTTCCAGAAGTTTTTGGGTTTTTGTTGGATAGTAGCGAACACGCCAGCAGGTTAGCGATAAGCGATGTACGGTTCACCTGATGTTAAGTGAATACCTCCGCCCATGGCCATCTGCCACACCCGATGGTTACAGATGCGTTGACAACCTTTTTTGGAAATTGGGCTCCGGCTACCTCACTCACCAGACGAAACGCGAAAGTATTTGTCATACTGCCACTTTACGCTGGTCTTCTGTGAGGTCTTGGTACTTACCCGGACGGGCCTGCCCATTCGTGCAACAGCCGAGGCTGCTGCGTGGCCCCACCACCGTGGACCATCTAATTCAGTGGCACAAACGAAAATGTATCTGGACCACGACGTGGCTGTCGTGTATGACTATGGCACATCCCAGGCTGACCCGAGCCATTTATTTATACATTTATATATAATTCGCGCTGGTCCACCACGAGATCGTGGTAGTTCGCCGAACGAGCCTGCCCATTCTTGCATCAGTAGAAGCTGCAGCGGTGCCCAACTACACCAAACCCCCGTGGTCCTCCAAGAAGAAAGCCTATTCTTTTCAGAGGCAAGCAAAGCGCCTGCAATTCTTTCAGTGTTAACAATGTACAACAACAGAGCTGTTCGCTTTCCATCAGGCGCACTAATATCTCTTTATTTCAAGTCCTTAACACTGTTGAAGCATTCTGGTAATACTTTTATCAATTTCACCATATTCCTAATGATCTCTTTTAACTACTTTATAAATATACTAGCTTTTCGCCCGCGGCTTCGCTCGCGTTGAAGCCCTTAAATGAATATCTTGCCCCTTAAGGGGAAATGGATCTTACCCTTTATAAGCCTTTTTCCAATTAAAAAATAGCCTATGTCCTCTCTCAGGCTCTAGACTATCTGTGTACCAAATTTCATTTAAATCGGTTCAGTAGTTTTGGCGTGAAAGCGAGACAGATAGACAGAGCTACTTTCGCATTTATAATGTAATTAGTTTAGGTTTATGGTTCCGGACCTCTTTGATATGCTAAATTGAGAAGCCGGTGGATAATTAAGTGGCTAATTTTAAGCCTAACGGTATCGCTAAGTGGTGGTAGATATTTACGTGGCTTAAAATTAGCCACTTAATTATCGACCACCACTTAGCGATATCGTACCTAAGTGGGGTGGGGTCACCGAAAACATCGGTAATGGCTAGGTAACTTACGACCGGCCGCGTGACTGACACCAGACCTATTAGAGAACAAACACCGGAAAATTTGTCAGTTACACATAATACTTTTCCCATGTAGGAATCGGACCCGTAACTCCCGGTGCCGGAGCCTATATCTTTGCAGCAGCACCAACTACGTAGACCCACGCGTTAGATAAATCAAAATGCCTTTACATACGACTAACATTTTTAGGACACATTCTTTTTACACAACGTTCTCTAGTCCCAAACTAAGTAATGCTTGAACTATGGGTACTAGAAAACTGATAGACATAGGTACTTAAACATACTTTTCTTTTGTAAATAAATACATATTATACATATATAAACACCCAGGCACTAGAAAAACACTATGCTCATCACACAATATTTTTCCGAACCGTGGGATCGAACCCACACCCTCTGGCGCAGAAGGCAGGTACACGACCGACTACGCCATTCGGATCGTCGTTTATAGACAGTTTTAAAGCCATGAAGCCTGAGTTTAATTCCCGCATATGAGCTCTTAAGTGTCTCCGCTGTACGTCAATACAGTTAATTACGTACTCTCCGTAATTTTCCTCAAGGCGAAGGCCGTTTACTTGCGTGTTCCTGCGCCCTTATTGCGATAGGTCAGTGGCACCGAATTATTTATCCGACGGCATCGTGGCGTCAAGTCTGTGAAAACAAGAAAGAACAACACAGCCTTAAAGAATATTTCGCTGCCAAAAAGGAAAATCATCACCAGAGAAATGGGGGCTTACACAGATGTGTGTCCATCTTTATCTAGGCTCTTTCAATCGGAATTTTTATATTGTATTTAATATATTCATGTCACACAATGTGAAAAAAGTTCACATTGTCAAAAAATTGAAAAACAAAGTTGCCCACTGAGTTTCTTATGTCGATTCTTCTCCGCCTTTCTTTTCCGAACCGGTGGTAATATTTTGACTATCAACAAGTGAGTGTAATGCTCTTATGTTGAATAAAGATATTTGAATTAGAAATATCTTAAATAAAATGCCAAATGCAAATGCAAGATGTAGAAAGATTCCCTCAGCCGGAAGATTGAATCGCATTGTGAATTTATGACTTTCATGCTTGTCTCGTTTGTGGCCAGTGCCCTGTTCATAGGTACCTTTCATTATTCGGGACGCATTGAATCTTTTTTTTTCATGTGAAAAGTTGCCAAACGAACAGATGGTTCACCTGATGATAAGTGAATACCGCCGCCCATGGATATCCGCTACACCCGAGGGTTACAGAGGCGTTGACAACCTTTTGAAAATTGAGCTCCGGCTTACTCACTCACCATACGAAACGCGAAAATATA